CATGGCGATGAGCACTTTTTAAGATGAATTTTTAAAGCTACATACTGGACATCCATCTCTTCACCGGGAGTCAGTCACTAAAAAGAGTTGAGAGTTTGACAATTTTGAACATTTTGATGTAATTTTTCTGACAGATTATATAATTGTAATTAGACACCTCGGGGAATATTCACTTTTGAAAGAACACTGGAATTTTAATTGAAGGAAATGTCTTCAAAAAATACCTCTAAACTAGCAGGATAGCAGTTATATAAGTGAATTTCGCCCAAGAACGTAAAAAAAATTAGCAATTTCACTGTGGTTAATTAATTGTTATACTCTTGTTTTAATTATTCAAAACTTTACGCAAAATGAAGAATGTGACTTTTTAAAGCTGACCTATTATGCAAAATGTACTTTTCAGAGCTTTTGTAGTTGTTTTCCCTCCCCATTTACTTACCCAAAGTTGTATTTGGCGTTATTTGTGCATGTTTAAGTCATCTTTTAATCGCTTATTTTCAAGATACCGTATTGCCGATCGATGCAGTTACCTCCTCTTAAACATACCTTGAATACATGCATCCTGAATTTTGGACTTCCGGTCATCACACAATGCATACTGGGAAGGATCCTCCGAAAAAGTGAACATCAAACCGCCATGTTTGATTTCCCTGTGGGATAGGTCTATTGTCAAAGACGAACTTTTTAAGTCTTTTGAACCGTATCACTTTTGTTTCTGGTTCTGATTTTGTCATATTTTAGTTATGAGATTCGGATATCATAATTGTGTGGTTGTTGGATGTCCTAACAGTGGAAAATGGCTCGAGAAATGGGCTTCGGAAATTTGCAAACTCTATAACTGCAAAAGGGAATCTGTGTGACTGCAAACCCCCGTTCAAACAGTTTTCCTTCCCAACGGAATTGAAAAATAGTGAAAGGCGAAGGCGATGGGCAGGATTGATACACAGGATGATTTCTTAGGTAGCCAAAGGTTACCTTTTTCGTCCTTCCTGAGTTTGCAGCGAACATTTTGTATGTGGAACGCCATCAAAGCAAAATCCCAGTCCCTCGCTCAACCTTGGTTACAAATTTAAAAAGTCAACGCCAAAGCGAAAGGCACCAACTGTTCTCCAAGAAACAACTTCCACTGCAAAGAGACCAAGACGTGATGTTGTTGTAAAACCACAAGAACAAGAAAGTGCAAGGTCAGCCTGTTTGTCTTCAGTACCTCAAACAGGATTTCCTGTGTATCAATCCTGCCCATCGCCTTTGCCTTTCACTATTTTTCAATTCCGTTGGGAAGAGAAACAGTTTGAACAGAGGTTTGCAGTCACACAGATCTGATTCCCTTTTGGATTTATGGAGTTTACAACCTTTCGAAGACCATTTCTTGAGCCATTTTCCGCTGTAAGGACATCCAACAACCACACAATTACAATGTCCGAATCCCAAAACTAAAATATGACAATATCAGAACCAGAAACAAAAGCGATACGGTTCAAAAGACTAGAAAAGATCGGCTTTGACAATAGACGCATCCCACTGGGAAATCAAACATAGCGGGTTAGTGTTTTAGTAACCCTTTATGTCCAAAATGCTTAGTTCCACCTTGTGAAGTTATGAAACTGGTATGTTTTTGATAACGAAACTACATTCTCATTTTTTCAGTGCCTTCAAAACTGTCTGTAGTGCTTTGTACATGTTCTGATCAATCATTTTCTCACATGACATTTCAAACTTTTTTTTCTTGCGTAAACGGTGGGTTACACAATTGTCATTAAAGGCTCCCAGCAGTAATGCGCAACAAGGAACATATAGGAATTATAAAACCTCCTTGTTGCTATGGAGATGTGCTTATTGAATCTATGATCAATACATTTGTCATGTTCAGATGTACAAAAATGGATGATACAGCGTTGGGGTTAAGTAATTCTTATATAAACGCGAAGTTAATGCTTGGTTTAAGACTGTATGACTTCATTTGATCGAATCAATATACATTTTGTTCATTTTACACTACTACACCTCGACTGGTCTTAATAAAGCACTTAAAGACACTAAAAAAACATGTTAAAGACTTAGACTAAGACAAACTTGACTGGGAATTAAGTATTTTTTCCTTGAGCTAGTTCATTTTAAACAGTGTGCAATGGTCCTCACTTACCTGATTCATTTCGAGCATCTCAATTATTTAGCAATTTAGAAGCTTTTCACAACTTTAAATGGCCAGAGTGGAGGTAACAACAACTTGCACGCTAAAAATTTAATACATCGTGGACTTATTTTAACCTCAAGAGCATACTGGAAAAAATCTTGTGCAAGGCCTTTAAGTATTATTTATTTAAGATGAAGTCAAGCTAAATTATTATATAGTTTTATCCATCTCATCTCTTAAACTTTACTGGGGCCATGGTCAAATACATGTACAGGGCCTTTTAAGTATTATTTAAGATGAATTAAAGATAAATTACTCTCGATTTACTGGTCAATCTACTTTCTTACCCTCACCTATGGTCATGACCTTTGGGTAATGACCAAGAGGACAAGATCGCGGATACATAAAATGAATTTCGCTCCCTTAGAGATAGGGTGAGGAGCTCAGTCACATGGGAGGAGCTCGGAGTAGAGCCGCTGCTCCTCCACGTCGAGAGGAGCAGGTGGGGTGGCTTGGGCGTCTGTTCCTGATGCCTCCAGGGAAGACCCAGGACACGCTGGAGGGATTATGTCTCTGGGCTGGCCTGGGAACGCCTTGGGGTCCCCCCTGGAGGAGCTGGAGGAAGTGTCCGGGGTGAAGGAAGTCTGGGAGTCCCTGCTTATACTGCTGGGACTCCTAAACCTGGTCCCGGATAAGTGGAAGAAAACGGATGGATGAATTAAAGATAGATTATTCTGAAGTTTGATCTATAGCGGAAAAAAATCTATAAAATGATAAGAATAAATGTGGGTACTCAGTTTAAGATTTTTTCTCATCTCTTCATCTTTACTGGGGTCAGGGTCAAATGTATAGAAAAAAAATCTTGTACAGGGCATTTTAAGTATTACTTGAGATGAAATAAAGCAAAATTATTATGAAGTTTTGACCATAGCTGAAAAAAACTATAAAATTATAAGAATAAGTGTGGGTAGCCAGTTTTAAGATTTTGTCTCATCTCTTCAACTTTACTGGGGCCATGGTCACATATATAGAAAAAAATCTTGAAGAGGGCCTTTTAAGTATTATATAAGATAAATTAGAGCTAAATTATTATGACGTTTGATCTATAGCGGAAAAAAGTATAAAATTATAAGCATAAATGTGGGTACTCAGTTTTAAGATTTTGTCCCTTCCTTTAAACTTCCCTCTGTACAAAGGTGTACTTGTTCTACTGCCCCATGACTAACGTCCTCCTCCACTTTTGGCAAAGCTGCTCTGAATGAGTGAATGAGAGGCTCGGGCTTTTATGTAAAGAAAATGTGAATGCGCCGGCTCCATAGGTGACTCATTGGAAGCCATTTTCTCATGTTCTGATTGAGTTGTCAGCTCTATTCTCTGCTCTGTGTGGGGCTGAGGTGACTAATGTCTCAAAACTACATGAGTTCAACCTTCCTGCGTGAACCACATCCTTGGGCAATCAGCACATGGGCGTAGAGCTGCTCACCTTTAGCTCAATTGATTGCTGCATAAGTGTGGAAAATCGGAAGTTGTTAGAATAATACTTTTTTTTTAGATTTTAAAGGTCATGTATTACGCAAAATGGACTCCTGTGAGCTTTTAGTCATGTTCGAACGCTGTTATTTCATCAAAAACATAACCGGAGTTGTGTTTTGTTTCATTCACACGTTTGAGTCACCTTTTATTATTAGTTTGTCTACATCTCCAAAGCTCAAAATGTTCTTTTCCACCTTGTGATGTCATGTAGTAGTAGTTTTCACAACTACCTTTTATCTTTTGTTTGGTAGACATTACAAAAGTTGACAAAACTGCAGTTGTATTAAATTTACTTTTTGCTTTTAAAGGTGGACTATGCAACTTTTTGAGGGTCCATCGCCTGCTTGTATCTATGGATATGTTGTTTCTATGCCTAAAATGTTCCACAGTATGACATTAAACAGCTCTACCTTACATTTATTCAATTACAGGTGGATTCATAGCTCAAAAATACCTTGAAAAACTGTGATTCTGACTGTGAGCCTCTCTACAGTTGTGCAGTAGTTTTATTATTCCGGATGCACGTGGATTGTAATGTGATGGTGCTCTGAAGGGGGAGTGACTTTAGCATGAGGAGCAAAGAGATGGGAGACTCATAAAACATGTAAATATTTCAGGAACATTAACATTTTCAAAACAATAAAAGGTAACATGGTGATCTAAGGATGTTACGTGTTAGCAGTTTATACAACATTGAAGTAAAATACCCCCTCTTTAAAGGTGCACTGTGTAACTTTTTGGTTTGGGGGTCCTTGTTTCTATGGAGATGTCATTGCTTTGCCTGGAATGTTCCACACTATGACATTAAACACCTCTACCTTACATTTAGTCAATTACAGGTGGTTAAAAGCTCAAAAATACCTTGGAAAAACAGGTGTTCTGACTGTGAGCAGGGTCACCTCTCCACAGATCTGAGCTGTAACTTGGTCTGGTTTGGTCTCCATGAAACGTTTAATGCCATACTGTGGAATATTCCAGACAAAGCAATGAGGCCACCATCAGAAAAGTTACGCACTATGTCAAAATGTTGTTTAATCATCACATCACATCAGTTCTTCGCCTACTACTTCTTCCTCTACTTCAGTTTCACCTTATGACGTCATTAAGTGTGTTTCAGAAGTGTTCCTTTGTCTTCAAATCAGCAGGTTTTGTTTTTAGCCTTATGTGACCTGCTTCACTCAGTCACATGGCAGTTCAGTAATTTTGTATCTCCAGAAATTTGAGTTTAAATAATTTTTAGTTTTTTGTTTGTTTGTTCAGTACGTCATAAACTCTACCAACTTCTTCTTATCTCTCCTTTTATACTAATGTTTGTCTGTTGTTTTATTTTCAGATATTACTACAACAAAAGGATCCTCCACAAAACCAAGGGCAAAAGGTTCACCTACAAATTCAATTTCAACAAACTGGTGCTGGTCAACTACCCCTTCATCAGCATGGACTCAGGTATGTGCAGTATAAGATCACCATGGCAACTGACAACACAACTTCAAGACTTTTAGACTAGAGGAAAGAGATGGAGGAAAGGACCATTTAAAAATACGAATATGAATTAAAAACACACGCAGTCGTTTTTTGATGGGGCTGGAGGCATTTGAGCGAGCCCTATAGTGCGGAAAATATGGTATTTACTTTCATAATGACTGGTCCTTTTTCTGTTTATGCTGCTGTGTGAAGAATTCCTCAGTCGTCCAGGTAGAATCCATGAGAAGAAAAAAATAAATAAATAATGATTCAGTTTGTCGACTGGACAAAAGTTAGTTTGGTTGAAGACGTTTCAGCTCTTCAGTTCTTCAGAACTGAAGAAGCAGCTTGGATGAGCTGCGAAACGTCTTCAACCAAACTAACTTTTGTCCACAAACTGAATTTTATTTATTTTTTTCTCCTTATTTATACTGCTATTTATGGTGCCTTTTATAAGTCCTGTATTACTGTAAATCAGGGGTCTCCAACCTGTAGCTCGGGAGATACCGGCAGCTCTCCACCCTTTTCCAAGTATCGCTCGTCAAGAGATTTCTGAATTCTATGTATTGTGCATAATAAGTAAAATTTAATTAACTACCACCAATAAATAGATAAATGGTTTGTTTATAAGCATCTAACTGTTCCCCATTTAAGGATCGCCATGACTCTTATATTTCTTAGTTTCTTAGTTTCTTTGCGACTGCTGAAATTGGTAACTCTGACATTTTTGTTTTGTAAAAGTAGCTCACTGGAGAAAAAAGGTTGGAAACCCCTGCTCTAAATTGACTTTTGTGAGATTTAAGTCATGTTTAATGCCGTTACCTCCTCAAAAACAGACCTGTGTTTTTTTACATTCACACATATTTGAGTCACGCATTATTATTAGTCTGTCTACATCTCCAAAGTTCAAAACGCTCTGTTCCACCTTGTGATGTCATGTAGTGGTAGTTTTCGAAGTCACAGCAACATTTTACCTTCAGTTCAGCAGAGATGAGCAATTCCAGGTCTGAAATTATTAAAAATGACTCTAGTGAAGGTGTATGGAGTTTAAAAACACCCGTGGGTTTACTTCCTGTATTACCACATGACATCACAAGGTGGACCAGAGTGTTTTTTGTTTGAGAAAGAACTTGTGTGTTAAACTTGTATGAATGAAACACAATTCCAGGTATGTTTTTGATAAGGAAACGACATTATAAAGTAATATGAGCCCTTTCATTGTGCCATTTCTCTGTTGACTCTTCCACCAAGATCTCAAAGTATTTATTTCAGATTTAAATGAATCATATTTACACTTCATTTGAGAGCATCCACTTCTATGACAAATACTCCTACTTCAATTACTACATTTTTCTCCACCTCCTCCTCCTCTGTGTACATTTACTATTGTTACTTCCTACCTTGCCACCACAATAGACTTGATTCATTTATACCGATGGAAAAACAAACACTTCTCGCAGTTACATCACATAGAAATAGACCATTATCTGTGTGAAACTCACCTTGGCAACGGGGCGCAGGAGTGAAGCTTTAAATAGAAGAATTGTACTCGACAAGGACTCAGGAGCTCTGTTATAGACAAAACACTGATGACCTTCAGGTGTCTGTGAATCTGAAGTGGTGTAAGAACTGGAAAAATACTGACAAAAGCAAGTTTAAAAAGTCAGTTTTTAGTGCAGGAAAAAAGTAATTCTTTATTTACCAGAAGTTTTAAAGAGGAGGTGGTATTATTATGCTAAATCGATTTGTCTTTCAGCTTTCTACCATGTTATAATGAAGAGGTTTTAGGTGTCATCCAGGCATGTTTGAGTAATTTAGTGATCTCTCCCGGGACCTTATTCAAACCCTCCTTATAGAAGAAGTAAGATTCTCCATAAATATACAAAAATATGATACACGAAACTACAGAGAAACTTGACAAACCTGATGCGATGTGCAGTAGTTTCATTAACGGGATGCGCACTGATTGTTTTGTGATATTGCTCTGAAGGGAGGGTGACTTAGCACAGAGAGGAGACTTGTGAAACTGGTGAATATAGAGCATTTTCAGAACATTTTCAAAACAATTTTAAAGTTAACGTGATCTAAATATGTTATGTTTTAGCAATTAATACCCTAAAGAAGTAAAATACTCCATATTTTAAAGGTTTTTATTTCATGTTAGAAACTTTTGCAAAGTTTAGGGCCCCTCAAGTATCGAATAAATACTATCAGGATTATTCATTCACACTTACACACATACAGACAATCTAAAAAAATTACAATATCATGAAAAACGTGTTTGTTGGCACTTATATCAGTTATGAGCAGGCCCGTCAACAGAAATTTGGGGGTCCAGGGTAAGAAAATTCACATGGGCCCCCCTCTAATATTAATTAATAGGCAGAGGTTCCAGTTCTGGGCCCCTAACAGACCCCTTTGTCCCTCCCCTGGTTATAAATAAAGTTAAATGTACATTATATAAACTCATGACACATAAAGTGAAGCATCTTTTTCTTGATATTCTAATTTTTGGAGATGGTCTCTACACTACGTCTAAACTGGGACTAAACCAGGATTACATCAGTGCAAAACCAGGTCTATAACAGGACTAAACTGGGATCAAACCAGCTGCAAACCAAAGTAAAAAGTTGGAGGAATCATTGTGGTTAACCCCGTAGGCGATGTGTAGTTCAGTTCCACTTCTGAACATTTGCTTGTGATTTGTCTTTGTCAGTCTGAGGTTTGATTTCAGACTTTCACACAGAAGTTCAGTGGTTAAAAACTTGACTTCAGTTTATCTGGAAGTAACAGATGGAGCAGGGGCAATACATTATGAGGTCCACAGACGCATATGAACTACCAAAGTGACTACTACTACTACTACTTACTACTACTATCTACTACTAACTACTACTACTTCTACAACTACACACTACTGCAACAACTGCTACTATACACTGCTATTACTACTATTACTACTGTAACTTGTAACTATACATAATTACTGTTACTAATACTAATACTGCAACTACTACATACTATTACTACTATTATTATTATACACAATTACTACTACTATTATTGTACACTGTTATTATACACTACTACTACTACTACTAATACTACTACACACTATTTCTAATACTAATACCACAACGATTACTACTACTATTATTGTACACTATTATTATACACTACTACTACTACTAACTACTACTTACTACTTACTACTAGCTACTACTACTACTAACTACTACTAGACACTATTTTTAATACTAATACTACAACTACTACATACTATTACTGCTACTGTTATTATACGCTACTACTACTACTACTACTACTACTACTACTACTACTACTACTACTACTACTACTACTACTACTTCTACTACTACTACTACTACTACTACTACTACTACTACTACTACTACTACTACTACTACTACTACTACTACAACTACTACTACTTCTACAACTACTACTACTACTACTACAACTACTACTACTACAACTACACACAATTTCTAATACTAATACTACAATGATTACATACTATTACTACTACCATTATTATTATACACAATTACTACTACTATTATTGTACACTATTATTATACACTACTACTACTTCTACAACACTATTAAAGAAACTACTACTAATACTACTACACACTATTTCTAATACTAATACCACAACGATTACTACTACTATTATTGTACACTATTATTATACACTACTACTAACTACTACTTACTACTAACTACTACTAGACACTAACTACTACTAGACACTATTTTTAATACTAATACTACAACTACTACATACTATTACTGCTACTGTTATTATACACTACTACTACTACTACTACTACTACTACTACTACTACTACTATTACTACTACTACAACTACTACTACAACTACTACTACAACTACTACTACTACTACTACTACTAACAACTACTACTACTACTACTACTACAACTACTACTACTACTACACTACTACTACAACTACTACTACTACTACTACTACTACAACTACTACTACAACTACTACTACTACTACTACAACTACTACTACAACTACAACTACTACTACTACTACAAATACAACTACTACTACTACTACTACTACTACTACTACTACTACTACTACTACTACTACTACTACTACTACTACTACTACTACAACTACTACAACTACACACAATTTCTAATACTACAATTACTACATACTATTATTACTACCATTATTATTATACACGATTACTACTACCACTGCCACTACTACTACTACTAATACTAATACTACAACTACTACATACTATTACTGCCACTATTATTATTATACACAATTACTACTACTACTGCCACTACTAGTGCTACTACTACTACTGCTATTGCTTCCACTACTACTCTGCACTATTACCACTACTGTTATTATACACTATTACTACTATAACGTGAAAATCTCACTACACTTACAGATCTTGCACTTGCCAGTAAAAAAACTATCTAGAAACGGGATTAAACCAGGACCAAACCAAACAAATGGTAACCCCGTCAAGTTGAATCATTGTGGCTGTGACCCCGTGGACGATGTGTAGTTTATGGATACTACTAAACATTTGTCGTTATAAATAGTCCCTCTAGATTGACTCATGCTTCACTTCAAGCCGCACTCTCAGCTAATTTCCTACAGGACATTAATTTTAGTAGCTTTGTTTGTGTCTGAAAAGCGCTCCACGTCCTGCCCCGCCCTCTCCTCCCTCTGAGGTCTGGTCTGGTCCCTGTCCCGGGCTGGCCCACTTTAAACGTGTCCCATTCAGAGCTATGACATAAGAGCCGAGCCAAACTTTAATTACACGGGCTGTCTGCTGTAGCCCACACGCCGTCATTTTGATAGGGCCATTTGTCTGCGTCAGTCTGGGCTTTGACTTCAGACTTTCACACAGAAGTTCACTGGTTAAAAACTTTACTGACAAGCTGAACTGTCACCACAAATACTACTTTAACTAATCGGTCAGGATTAGATGGAGCAATGCATGCTGGGGGTTCACAGATACATGCCAGCTACTAACATGTTTTCTATTTCTACCTCTGTTACTACTGCTACTACTTGCTACTACTACTACTACTACTACTACTACTGATATTATTAGAACTCTACTACTACTATTGCTACTGCTTCCTCTGCTACTACTATTACTACTTGTATTACTACTATTACTACTTTACTAGTACTACACCTACTGCTTACTACTACTGCTACTACTACACTTAAGGCCTACAACTAGTGCCACTACACCTACTGCCTACTACTACTGCTACTACACCTACTACTTACTACTACTACATCTACTGCCTACCACTACTACACCTGCTGCTACTACTACTACATCTACTGCCTAGTACTACTACTACTACATCTACTGCCTAGTACTACTACTACTACTACTACTACTACTACTACTACTACTGCTGCTACTATCCCTACTTACTATTACTACTACTATGACGCTTACTGCCTACTACTGCTGCTACTACACCTGCTACTACTACTACTACCCCTACTGCTTTCTACTACTACTACTACTACTACATCTACTACTACTGCTGCTGTTACTACTACCCCTACTGCCTACTACTACTGCTACTACTACTACTACTGCCTACTACTACTACTACTACTGCCTACTACTACTACTACTACTACTACTACTACTACTACTACTACTACTACTACTGCCTACCACTACTACTACTACTGCTGCCTACTACTACTGCCTACTAATAACTACTACTACTACTACTACCAGAACCACCACCACTACTACTATTACTAAACACTATTACTACTACTACCTGTACATCTACAAAACTTGCACTTGCCAGTAAAAAAAAAAAAACATTTCTAAATCTTTAGTTTAAAGGGTTCATATTTTCTGGTCTATGTTATATTGTTGTTTCCTCATCACAAACAGACCTGGAGTTGTTTTTTGTTTCATTCACACATGTTTAACACACAAATCATGCATATTTAGGCTGAGTTCTTTTCTCAAAATGAAAAAAAAAACAAAAAACTCTGTTGCACCTGGTGATCTCATATGGTAATACAGGAAGTGCTCCACTGTGTTTTTTATTATCTGTTTTATTGTATGTTACCTTTTCCTGCTGTTCTGAAATTGCGCGTTGCAACACTGGAATTTCCCCACTGTGGGACTAATAAAGACATATCTTATCTTATCTTACATTCCATACACTTTCACTAGAATCATTTGGATAATTTCAGACCCGGAATTGCCCATCTCTTCTGAACAAAAGGTAAAAGAATCTGTTAACTTTTAGCATTTTCAGCTTTGGAGATGCAGGCAGGTTACTCAAACATGTGTGAATGACACAAAACACAACTCCATGTATGTTTTTGATGCGGCAACAACATTATAACATGACTTAAAGCTCACAAGAGTACTCTTTGAGTAATTTAGAACCTTTTTAAGTATCTTATTTACAATACTTTAGCCCGCAGTACTGTACATTTACACCCCCAACAGAATAGACTTGTATACAGTGGTTCTTTGGCTCAACTCCACTGGTCCAGACATGACTCCAGAGTGTTACCTCTCAGACAGAGCCACACAAACACACACACACACACTGACACATGTACTGAGACTGTGGAAAAGGAGGAGGTACGCGCCCTTATTTGTGATGGCACACGCTTCTGCAGCAATGCCACAGGCTACTGGTAAAAACAGGGAGGATGAGGGTTCAAAAAGCACCTAATTGTGGCTCCGTGTAACTCTGCTTTCTGTCTATGGGTAAAGCTGTCATATGTCACCGCAGCTCTGTTCTAATTAGGCTGAGATAAAACATTCTTCATTATGGTCTTGTATTGTTGACAGCGTTGGCCAAAGTTAAAATAGCAAATTAGTTTTAGCAAAAAATAGTAGCGCGTAAGAAAAACATGTCTGGTATGACACAGGGCTCAAATGGGAATGGCTGCTGATTTTGCTGTATTTAGCTGCAAAAATACATGACCAAAATAAGTGAACACAAAAAGAAAGTGCTTTTTTTTTTTTTTTTTTTTTTTCAATAGATCCTTTTACCCCAGACATCTCAAAATGTCTCTAAATCAGGGGTGTCCAAACTTTTTTCTTCAAGAGCCACATATGAAAAGACGGATAAAGATCGAGAGCCAGACTATTGGACTGATTGGACAATACCGATAATAACTCAAAACAATGTGCCTTTATAACAGGTTAAACTGAGCCAACAGACTTTTATTCACGCTTAGATCCTTATTTGACGTCGGCTTTATCGAGGTAGATTTTCAGAACTCGCAGTAGACAAACAGACTGATCCGTAAAGCTGGTCACGTGATCGGCTGTGAGCTGAACAGATTTTTCGCGGTGAGGGACAAGAGGACGCTGGACAGACTGCTCTCCGTCGTGGACACTCCTGCTCACCCACTGCACCAGACTATAGAGGGACAGATAATACTCCCTACAACAACTCATCCACTGCACCAGACGATAGAGGGACAGATAATACTCCCTACAACTGTACAACAACTCACCCACTGCACGAGACTACAGAGGGACAGATAATACTCCCTACAACTACAACAACTCACCCTCATGTAGCAGATAATACTCCCTACAACAACTCACCCACTGCACCAGACTAAGAGGGGCAGATAATACTCCCTACAACTGTACAGCAACTCACCCTCATGTAGCAGATAATACTCCCTACAACAACTCACCCACTGCACCAGACTGTAGTGGAGCAGATAATACTCCCTACAACTGTACACCCACCACCAGCACTACAGAGGGGCAGATAATACTCCCTACAACTACAACAACTCACCCACTTCACCAGACTATAGTAGCAGATAATACTCCCTACAACAACTCACCCACTGCACCAGACTGTAGTGGAGCAGATAATACTCCCTACAACCACTCACCCATTGCACCAGACTATAGAGGGGCAGATAATACTCCCTACAACTGTACAGCAACTCACCCTCATGTAGCAAATAATACTCCCTACAACTGTACAGCAACTCACCCTCATGTAGCAAATAATACTCCCTACAACTGTACAGCAACTCACCATTATGTAACAGATAATACTCCCTACAGCTGAACAACAACTCGCCATTATGTAACAGATAATACTCCCTACAACTGAACAACAACTCACCCTTATGTAACAGATAATACTCCCTACAACTCTACAACAACTCACCATTATGTAACAGATAATACTCCCTACAACTGAATAACAACTCGCCATTATGTAACAGATAATACTCCCTACAGCTGTACAGCAACTCACCCTTGTGTAACAGATAATACTCCCTACAACTCTACAACAACTCACCATACTCTTATTTGTTTTTTTTTTTTTTACTTACTTGTACATTTACATCTTTATAATTATGCCTTATTTGACACCAGTTTCTCTTTTTTATTGCTACGTATTAAGAAGTTTTTATGACCATTTTTATATTTTTTGTTATCATAATACAATGTGGTGTGTAAGCTTTTCCCTAAATAATTTCCCTAGTGGATCAATAAAGTCTGTCCAAGTCTAAGTCTAGAAAGTACTGCTTAAGGTAATTTGGGCCATTTCACCAGCCAGAGTTTAAACATGCTTGCTCTAAACTGGTATTAAACTTAGACTCAGTGCTGTTATTCAGTAAATAACTGTGAACTGATACTCTGCATATCCCAGGAGAAGTGTTGGTGTATGGAAAAGTTTGGTCATAGATCTAGATCACACTGAGTTTGCACGAATTGTCGAATGCAGTTAAGATTATAATAGGCTCTAGTCACGCTTACCGGAAGATGTTACCAGAAGTTCATACGTAATTTCACTTCAGCCTAAACCCCTTTGGTCATAGTTTTGTGTGAATCATGTACTTAATGGCCTGTTACAAACATTTAAGAACATGACCGAAGAAAATGAACTACTACTACTACGACTACGGTTGGAAACAAGCGGATGGCGACTTCCGGACACTGGGCATGTGATAAAATCCTGGATTCAACAGCAGCAGCATCACAACTTGTCAAACGTGACGTGACTCTAATCGTATCTTCACTTCTGCTGGTTGTAACTGTTGATCTGCCGAACATAACAGAACGCTACAGTGACATCTTTTTTTTTCCAAGTTAGACAAATTATAATACACAAATTAATTTCTAAAAGGAAAAAAGAAAGAATACAATGACATCTAGATGAAGAAAACTGAGCCATTTTCTCAAGTTTTCCCAGATTTTGTTACTATCACCAACAGCACCCAAAGGAAGTCGTCATCCGCATGTTTCCGAACGTTTTCCGGTTTTGTGACGTAAGCGTGAATAGAGCTGATAATATGTCCCCTGCAAAAAAGAAGTGAATTATTTTGATAAACAACATAAAAACACTTGAAAATATAAAGTTTCAGCAACATGTGAAACTACGATAACAGTAAACATATTCTAACCTGTTTTATTTTTTCTCCAGGTCGAGGTGTCCCCCAAAGCGCACCTCCCGTCCCCTCCGGAGGCACCCACTTCCGCTTCCCGCCCTCCACCCCCTCAGACGTGCTCTCGTCCAGCGAAGAGCTGCGCAGCCCGGGCATGTACAGCGCAGTCAGCCGGCGCATGGCACGGGGGTCTGTGAGCGACTGCAGCGACGGCACCTCCACCAACTCCGAGCTGGAGGAGGCCGGGGCGGAGGAGCGGGGCGGCGGGGGTCCAGATCGCGCGTACCGAGGCCTGCTCCCGCCGCGCCTCCCTCACGATTCTCTCTTCAGAGTCTTCGGAGGAGGACCTGGAGGACTGGCCAGACCGACCCCGCGAGTCCACCCCGATCCGCTGTCTCCCTTCCCGGTCTCGCCTCTCCCCGGGCCGGGTCTCCTGCCTCCGCTGTCCCCCGCGATGTCCATGACCCCGACGCCCCATCTCCCCTTCACCCCGTCCCCCTCCCTGCCCTCCCCGCTCATGGGCTCCCACTTTTCATTCAACGCGGAAGATATGAATCATTACCTGCAAGCGCATAATCAGTCCGTGTACAACTACCACCTGAGCCCGCGCGCTTTCCTGCCCTACCCCAACATCATAGTCCCCCAGCCCCACAGACCCACCCCGGACAAGCCCTCCCTCCTCCACGGACCGCCCCTGGGCCTGTCTCACTCCCTGGGGCAGCAGATCGGGGCGACCGACGAGTTTAAGTTCAAGCTGCAGCCCCCGCCTCTCGGGAGAAAGCACAGGGAAACAGGAAGTACCCCGGCTGCTTCCTCCTCCTCATCATCGTTGTCTGGGTTTTCAGGGTCCAGCCAGACTCTGAGTAACCCCAGCCTGTCTGTGGGACCACCCAAGATCAAGGTGAGGAAGTGAAGCTCAAAAAACGCTCAAATGGGTCATAAGATAAACTAATATCAGTGATTTTATTTAATATTTACAGAAGATTAACCAATCCACTTTAGTTGTATGGCACATTTTAGAAACATGACAGTTTTCCTATGAGCTCTTGTATAAAGCTGGGATTTTATTTTATTACTTATCTTTAGGGATGTAACAATAACCTAAGTATCGTCAAAGTTCTCACAATATTATCATGGACCATCACAATATATCGAATTACAAGTCACTTTGCTTAAATTAAGAGTTATGGTGTAATAGCTTAAAAAAAAAAAGACAGGGGGAACTACATAGACCATGATCCTTTGCTCCCTTTCAGTGCAGACTACATGAAGAAATAACAGTTCTAAGCACCTTTAAGTGTAAATTTTTTGGGCTTAAGTCTTAAGTCAAGGCATTTTAAGAGGAAAAGGTAGCATCTTAGCCTCCGCTAAAAATCACAATAAATATCGTACTGTGAGATGTGTATCGTGAAAATATCATACCAAGAGATTTGGATATTAGTTTAATTTATTTATTTTGCACATATAACATGACAATAAAAAGAAACACACGAGATAAAAAGTAGGTGCCGGAAGAGGCAAAAAACCAAATAGGGCTTTAACATTATCATTGTGCATAAAAATGTATATATATATAGAGAGAGAGAGAAAAATGACATTTAAACACCATGGATTAAATTCTTTTGATTCAAACATGGATAAAACACAATGAAACATCCACCATTGAAAGATTATCAAACATTCGCACAAAATATCAAACATTTCCTCAACCCCTTTTTAAACAACACCTCTGAACTGCCATCACTAACCAGATGTGAAAACTGGCTCCAGAATTTACAGCCTCTGTATCGTCCGCAAAACTGAGCTCTTGATGTGACAAATTTTGGAACATGAAAATTATGAATTTGACGAGTTTTGTAGCTATGAATCTCTGCATTGGTTTTAAAATAAAATATTGTTACATCCCTAATCGTGAGACTTCCCACCAAATCATGAGCTTTCCTACGATACCGCAATAAATTTCAAACCGTGACGATATCGTTTCGTGCGACTTGGATATCGCTACACTCCTACTTATCTATTTTATTTTGACTTATGTTATTAGATTCTTTTTTCAGACCAAGAGTTTGTTTTCATACCTGACATTTTCGACTGCTTGTTTATTTTAACTTCACACCAAACTCTTGCTGTCTTTTTTGCTACTTATTTAGAATTCATTATTACCATTTATATTTTTTGCTCTTTGTTATTATATTATATTATATTATATTGTGATGCGTGAGCTACTGTGTCTGAATAATTTCCCTTGTGGATCAATAAAGTTTGTCTGAAAGTTTCCAAAGTGCTGCACAGGCAAATTAAGAGAATAAATAAAAAGAGTAAATCATATTTAAAAACTTTAAATAAAAGTATTCAAATTATGAACTGAATACAATCAAATAAAAATGTAATAACTTTATTTAAAATGGCCAATTGTGATTTTGGTAATAAACTTAAAAAGGTGCTTCATCATCTGCTCGTCTCTATGGAGATGTAACACAAATCTGTCCTTTAACCTTGTGGAGACAGATTTATTTAATGCTGTACTTTGGAACATTCAGGGCAAAGCTATAACATCCCCATAGCGACAATAAGTTGGAGGACCCTTCACCAGAAATGTTACATAGTGTACCTGATTTTAATCTAAGTTTATTGCAACTGATACTAGGGCTGGGTATCATTAAGAAGTTGCCGATACGATACATACCTCGATACATAGGCCACGATACGATACATAACTCGATACATACATACCTCGATACATAGGCCACGATACGATACATACCTCGATACATAGGCCACGATACGATACATACCTCGATACATAGGCCACGATACGATACATACTCGATACATAGGCCACGATACGATACGATACACGATACGATACATAGGCCACGATACGATACATACCTCGATACATAGGCCACGATACGATACATACCTCGATACATAGGCCACGATACGATACATACCTCGATACATAGGCCACGATACGATACATATCTTGATACAGTGAGCTTTCAATTCAATATGATATATTTCAAATCGATTTAATACAGTTCAATAGAAATAAAGGCTAAATCATGGCTGTGATAATGAAAGTCTGTCTTAAACCTCTTTTTGTGCAAAGTTCATATGAAACACAAACATTTTATTCATCAAAACAGTGAAAATGTCAAATGTGTTGCATAAAAAAGTTTCCTCCCTCTAAACAAGCAACAAAACTGCAGCTCTAACAAAATAATTTAGTAAAATATAACAAAAAGTACTCTTGGCGATATATCGATACAGCAGCCCACAATATCGATACTGTGTCATCACATTAAGCTATACGATATATTGATTTTTCAATATTTTTGCAAACCCCTAACTGATACACACATTAGAATGAAAATCTACTTTATTATCGTTTGTGTTAGACATATTTAAAAAACAACAACAACAACCTTCTGCATTTTAAAGCTGCATTGTGCAACTTTTCTGATTAATGGTCTGTCATTCGCTCTTCATCAAGATGTTCCACAGTAGAGATTAAAGTCTGTCTTAAAGGCGACAACTATAGGCCACTTTATAGGTCAGATCTGTGGAGATGCAACCCTATTCACAGAGAGAATTGTTTTTTTGACCAATATAAACACCCGTAATGAATAAATGTTAAGATAGAGGTGTTTAATGTCATACTGTGGAACATTCCAGACAAGCAGGTGACGGACCCCCCACCAGCAAAGTTGCGCAATGCACCTTTTAATTGATTCTTTTTTACAAGTCAACTTTTATTTAACCTATAAAATAACATTTTATAGAAGTTTTCCATTTCCAGAAAGCTTCCTTTTGTGCGTGTTTTAGTGCATTGGACTCAAACTTAAAGAGACACATTTTTTTCTTTTAACACTTGAACGTCTCACACTAGAAAAACAACACTTTACACTTTCAATTTTAACGACATGTTTGCACTGCTGTCTTCAAACTTAAACGTATATTATGTAACTCTTCTGGTGGAGTTTCCGTTGCCTCTTCGTCTCCACGGAGATGTTGCTTTACCTCCATGGAAAGAAAAAACTGACTCTAACAAGCAGAGTTACATGTCAGATCTGTGGAGAGGCGACCAGTGCTTATATTTTTAAGCAACAAAAACACCTGTGATTGAATAAATGCGAGATTTTAGTTGATTAACGCTACTGTGGAACATTTCAGGCAAAGCAATAGCATCTTAGACTTACTTAGACAAACTTTATTGATCCACAAGGGAAATTATTTGGACACAGTAACTCACACATCGCAATATAATATAATAATAATAACAGAGTAAAAAATATAAATGGTAATAAATTGTAAATAAGTAGCAAAAAAAGAGCAAGAGAGGCATATTTATAGAAATGTATTTGTACAAGTCAAAGAAAATAGAAAAATAAGTACCATATTTTTCCGACTATAAATCGCACCGGATTATAAGGAGCATTAAGCAAAACAATCGGACGACACTTAAGACTGATACTTTAGCCTGGGCGTCCACGATCCATCGGCAGATCGTGGCATTATTGTTGAATTTGTATTATGAATGTGAATGTGGGTGGATAATTTAGGTTTGTTTGTTTTTTTCCTACAAGGACGACTCAAATCTACATTGAGTAATAATGTGTTTAATGCAGCTTTGCGCACATTTGTTTACGCTTTACAGAATTGAAACTTAAAACCACATGGCTAAAGCGCTGAAAAAACAGCTCTTTATTGTGCGCTGATGCGGTTCAGCTTCTGTTATGTCTGAATATGAGTGTTCTTTCTGTGACAGAGGATATGCTGCTGATCGTAGCCATAATGCTCTGACAATCCATCAAGCGGTGCATCTTTTTTATCTGACCAAAGTCGTACTAAAACATTTTGACAGATTTTTGAGCGCTGTGTATCACATAAAATCTTTTCAAGGTCAGTAAACACAACCAGAATTAATACGTAAGGCGCACTAAAGATTTTTGAGAAAATTAAAGGATTTTAAGTGCGCCTTATAGTCCGAAAAATACGGTAATAAAATATAAAATCTCAGCTATTTACAAAAGGTCATAGGAAGGCAGTGGAAAAAGAAAATCAGATGACAGACCTTTGACCATAAAAGTTACACCATGCACCTTTAAATGTTTATATTTGAAATGATAAAGCTAAAACACAAGTCCAAAATGTAGAGTTTCTATATTCATCCTGCGCTCTGGTGTTTCTCAGGTGGAGCGGATCTCGGACGTGGAGTCAGACGAGGAGGTGGAGGTGACTGACATCAGCGAGGAGGACGACGACATGAATCACCACAACGACGGGGGGGAGGACGACGACGACGAGGGCGACATCTTCACACCTCTGTCTCGCCACCGCTTCCTCCATCACCACGGCAACGGGACAGCCGGAAGGTTCCTCGGTCGCCACGGCAGCAACGGGACCACGAGGACCGGCACCCCGCCTCCGCCGCCCGCTCCTCCGGCGGACGATGACGACGACGAGGATGTGTTCAAGACCCCCGCCACACCTCCCCCCGGGACCATGCCGTTCCCCCTGCTCAGCCTGAAAGCAGAGCCGGGGCAAAGCAACAGCGCCCCCATCAGCCCTGGAGGAACGCGCTGCATCCCGCTCAAACTGAGGTTCAAGCGACGCTGGAGCGAAGACCAAAAGACCGAGGTGGACGGTCGAGGTGGGTAGAGTCATTTTGAGAACTGTATTTTTGCCACTGCATTTAATAATAGTTAAAATATTTTTGTAACTATTCCTTGGACTGATGAGATGGTCCCTGTGGTAAGTATTTGTCATAATTTTACATCAGTCAAGTGATTTATGAAAAATACAGGAAGAAGCACAGAGTTCTAAAATGGAATACACTAGAGCTGCTCGATTATGGAAAAAATCATTATCACGATTATTTGGTCAATATTGAAATCACAATTATGCAGACGATTATTTTTTAGTTACTCAATTCCTTTATTCAGCATTTCTCTCTCTCAAAAAAAAAAACACTTTGTTATTGATAATATACACAACTCTTTCAAATTGAAAATAAAGGCTACATATATGAACCTTAGAGCAGTTTTGCGATGTACAAAACATAAAATAAATAAAATATACTTTGAACATGAAATAAAGCATAGAAAAACATAAATGTATCTAAAATAAACTATATATCCAGCTGTTACAATTTCAATATTAAAAATTAAAATAAATATACTTACAGCATTTATATAAAAAATATCCCAAAATAAACTTTGTTAAGCCTTAAATTGTTTCAACTCGATTATGAGTTTTTAGATCGTTTGACACACAAATCGAAATCGTGATCAAAATTTGATCAGTTGCACAGCCTTAGAATACACGTATACAATTTACACACAAGGAAGGCATTTTTCTGACAATTTAAACATTGATTTAACAAAATAAAGATTATAATTAATCTGTAGTTGTCAAATTGTATGTGTAATTTAGACAGTTTTGGCATTTGTTAACGTTATGGTTGCTAGGTCACAAACTTCTTCGTGTGTCATATCTGCTGCCCGTGTCCAACCACGTTAACTTGTAATCTTCACCAAAATGACAACTAGAAAAGACCAGGCTTTTTTTTTTTTTTTTTTGTAAAATCTTAAACAGATCTGCTCACATCACATATGCGTTTTCGTCACATACATCACCACCAAACCACCCAATCCAATTCCACACACTTTTGCGTCACCGTATCTACGCAGATTTCCTCCAGAAAACGCTTGTCTAAACGCAGAATAAAAAGTAAAGACGGGACACCACTTTTGCGTCATCACATGTTTCCAAACGTCTTATTGATTTGTGACGTAAGCCTGAATAGAGACTATTGCTCTTTAATTTGGTATTGTTTAGAATACAGTTACTTTCCTAAAAACAAAGGAATGCATTGTCAGGGCAGCCGTGGTGTCTTAAAAGTCTTAAAAAGGTCTTAAATTTCATGTTCCTAAACTAAGGCCTTAAAAAAGTCTTGTTAGATTCTAGATATAGTAGTTGGTTGGTCATTATTAGAATTGAATCTGGTGTTTTTCACCTGCATAATGGGTGTGATGTTGGTCTTAATTTTGATTTAAGTGATCTAAAAAAGGTCTTTAAAAAGTCTTAAATTTGGGGTAGTTAAACCTGGGGATACCCTGATTATGAGAATTTACCTTTTACAGCGAAACTGACTGAAATGTAAATATATCAAATTCATTTCTACCTCTTCCAGATGGTGAGAGGGACGGCGAGGCAGAGGATAAGAAAGTGCGCGCCGACGGAGAGGAGGGCATGGAGGAGGATCAGAGGGCGGCAGAGGAGGAGCCTGTGCCCGCACGAGGAGCAGTCATCCTGGGCTTGACTCTCCCGCCTCCCCCTGCCCAGCGCCGGGGCAGCTCAGAGCTCCAGAGGGCAACTGCTCAACTATCCCTGGAAAACCCGACCTGCTGAGACCTGGTGACGCATAGATACGAAAGACCTACCGGCTTCTTGTTGACGCAGACCATAGACGGCGAGATCGTAGCAAGTTTTAGCCAATCACAATCCACAATTACAAGTAAAGTTATAGTGTATTTTTGTATATTAATAGTGGCTTCTTAATGAGCATATAGCAGACCAAGCATCTATTTTTACTTGTTAATAATTTTTATAACCATATTTTATCCCAAAGTTTGTAAAATGAGCCGTAAAGTGGGCATTTTTACCAGATAAATCACTATTAAATCTACCCTTTTTGCTATTAAACATCAGGATGCAAGGGTATTTTATTCCGCTTAAACAGGCAATTTCCAAAGCACAATTTGTATATATAAAGTAAAAAATATTATGTACACTCCCCCTTCATGATGACGGCATTAAAAAATTCTTAAAAATGCATATTAGAGTTTCAGTATTAGCGTTAGTTTTGGAGTTTGTCAGTGTTTGAATCCTGGCCTGTTCTGTCAACAAGCGGCTCCGAGTTTTTGTGATCTATGTGGAGAAAGCGAACCAGTGCCTGCATCGCCTCCGAAACAACGGATACAATTAAAGAAAAACTATAAATCAACTTGCAAAAACACACAAAAACAGAAAAGGCAAACTACACCGGCCCTTCTCCGTCAGTGAAGACTTGTAAAGAGCTTTGGGATTCATTCACACTGCCTTTTTTCGAAGTCTGCCGGTGCCAGTTTAGGCTGCCAGGCTCTTACATCTCACCATGTGCCCAGAATATGTTTTAGCACGATCTCCTGGCAGCGAGCGAGCATTGTTACTAAAATACCAATCGCTTTGTTTGGACGACGTGTACAGCGCAAATTGTCACCACCGAGGCGCCTCTTTGCTTTGATTTCCACTTTGTTTAATGCTCAAAATCCTGCTTAAAGGGCCCGTGTTACGCTATTTTCTGATCTGTGTTCTAGCATTGTTTCCTCGTCAAAAACAGACCCGGAGTTGTGTTTCGTTTCGTTCGCTCACGTTTAACACGCAAATCCTGCATATTTAGGAGTTCTTCTCTCAACCTAGAAACTCCACACACCTTCTCTAGAATAATTTGGATGATTTAAACCCAGAAATCGCCAATCTCCACTGAACTAGAGATAAAAAGTAGCTGTTAAGTTTGTAATTTTGAGTTTCAGATGTAGTCAGACTAATAATTAGGGCTGGATATCATTAAGAATTTGCCGATATGATACATACCTAGATACATAGGCCACGATACGATACATATCACGATACGGAGCGCTTTCGGTTCAATAAGGTATATTTCAAGGCAAGTTTATTTGTATAGCACAATTCGTACACAAAGTCATTCTAAGTGCTTTACAGATCAAGAAATACATTAAAATCACAATAAAAACAAATCAGAACATAAATAATCATAGTAAAATTAAAGATTGAAATTAAAAGAGAGAGAGAGAGACATTTCAAATCAATTCGATACAGTTCAGTAAAAAAGAGAAAAGCTAAATCATGGCTGTGATGCTAAAAATCTTTGTTAAGTCACTTTTTGTGCAAAGTTAATATGAAAATTTTTTATCATTTTAATCATCAAAACTGAAAATGTCGTATGTGTTGCGTAGATGGTTTTCTTTCCACTAAACAAGAAGCAAAACTGTAGCGCTGTAACAAAATAATTTAGTTAAATATACCAAAAAGTACTCGGTATGGCGATATATCGATACAGCAGCTCACAATAACAATCCTGTATCATCACATTAAATTATACAATATACCGATATTTCCGATATTTTGATATTTTTGCACACACCTACTAATAATGCAGGATTACTCAAACGTGTGAATGAAAATAAACACAACTCCAGGTTTCTTTTTGACGAGGAAACAACATTATAAGCTCACAAGAGTCAATTTTGTGTAATATAGGACCAAAATCTTGCTTAAAAGGCACACTGTGTAACTTTTTTTGATTGTCTCCATGGAGATGTTTTTGCTTTGCCTGAAATGTTTCATAGTATGGCATTAGACTCTGTTCAATCACAAGGCTTATGTGGTATGACTAAGGAAACACGCATTTTTGCCGTAAGTTGGATTGCCTTTCCACAGATCAGACCTGTAAACTTGAAGTAATGTTGCCAGCTACTTGTCTACATGATTATTTCAATGCCATACCCTGGAACATTCCCGGTGTAGCAATAAAATCTACATCGAGATGGCCAGAAATGTTACATAGCGCGTCTTTCTTCATCCGTTTTTTATTGGCCCATTTATAGAAGTGCCTGCCTTCTCACGCAGTCAATTTTATCATCTGCCGAACTTGTAATTTCTTTCCTGGAAATATCTGAAAGACTCTCTCAAGTGAGACAAAATGATCCTATCTTCTCACCCACACTACATTGTACAAAGAGACATTAAAAGCAGCCGTGTTTGTACAAAGATGAAGTCGGAACTTTGAAATACTGACATTTGTTAACCAGCGAATGGACTTAAAGTTGCTATATTGTACAGATAATCAAATGTTTTGCTCGTGGAGAGGGCGCGAAACACAACAGGAGGCTCGAAATTAGGAAGAGGAAAACTGCCAAGACTGCTATTAGTCCTTGTTTGAACTGTCACAGATCCAGCGAGGAGGAGTGAATACAACCCAACGCAGAAGACACCGCTCATTCCCTTTTGTTTAGCTTAAAAGACGCTAAAACCGTGCCTCTTTTTGACTTGCACCCTCGGTATGTATTAATATTATTATTATTATTCTTAAGGGCATTTGCGGTGATGTATTTTGTTTTTTTTTCGTTCGTATATATATCATATCGAGATGCGAAATTTCTCTGGAGCATTGTAAAACGAATGTTGAGCATCGAGGTTAACTCAGGCGAAACCTTTACTGAGAAGAATCGACTTATTTTTATGTGTTATTTTACAAAAGAAACCCCATTTTAAGCATATATATATATTAAAAAAATGGTGCCTTTTTAAACGCCAATGCTTTCTCTAGTTACCCCCCTGCAAAGTTCACACTACAGCCGTCATGCCTTCAGTCTTTTATAAGAAAACCTACAGAATTACACTTATATATTTTCTTCAAATATATATAGAAGTCAAATGTTATATTTCAGTACGGATTTGATACAAGAAATCAGGAAGATGCTATTTTTAATGGTAAAGATTTGTAAATATTATAACGGGCATATTATAAGCAGTATCTCCTGCCTTAGTATTTCACCCTAGCCTTCTTATTCTTGAGCTATCTTTATGTAAAATAATGATCTCTTCAGGGGAACATCTACGAAAATCTTGGGTCAAAATTGTACCTTTTTTTTTTTTTTTGCTTTGGTGGGTTGACATTGGTCCAAAGACAGTGCCAGTAAACATTTTTATTATCAAGTCTTTTCTTTCTTTGCACTTGCTTTGTACTGCGATTTTGGATTTTCGCCCTGTTGTAAAACTATTCACTGTTTTGACCCAAATATAGGAGGGATGCTGCAACAAAGTGACATTTTATGATGATTTTTTTAATGGAATCAAACGCGTTAAAGGTTCCTTCTCTCATGCTTTGCCAAGGAGGTTTCGCAATTTGGCGTTAAAATGATCTATCTCCATGGCAACAAGCAGATAACGCCACTATAAACACCTAAAATTTAAAAGATAAGACCAGAAAGATAAGTTTAATGTCACACTGTGGAACATTCCTGGCAAAATGACAACCCTATCTCGAAGAAGACAACATTTATAACCTGTTTTAACTTTTGGTTCTATGGATATGTTGTTTCTATGCCTAAAATGTTCCACAGTATAGCATTAAACAGATCTACCTTGCATTTATTCAATTACAGGTGGTTTTATAGCTCAAAAATACCTTGGAAAAACAGGAATTCTGACTGTGAGCGGGGTTGTCTCTCCACAGATCTGACCTGTAACGTGATCTGGTTTGGTCTCCATGACGATAGAAAGGTTTAATGCCATTCTGTAATCAACATCTCCAAAAATGCAACTACAAAAGATCCATAGTAAATGATAAACTACGAACTCCACATCGCCTATAACCGTCTTTTTTCAAGTTAATCCTCTTTCTCTGCTGTTTAAAGTCATAATGAGTAGATAGAACCAGAAAAGTTACACAATGCAGCTTTAAAGTATCTAACTTGGATCAACCGTGAACTCTAAATCACCTATAACCATCTTTATTCAGGCGTATCCTCTCCTCTGCAGTTTGAAAACGTAATAACTAGATACAGCGCACTGGAAATTACGTCAGAAAAACCTCATTGCGGGATAGGGAGACGGGGACTTACCATAACTACCGCTCTGGTCTGTGCAAGTGGAAATCTGATCCTAGATTTGTGCCATAGACATACATCATTTAGCAGAGGCCTCCCCACTCCCGGCTTATTCACAATCAGAAACCACAGTCCAAGTCATTATTATATTTAACCTTTTTCACAGTTATTAAAACTTTCCATGGTTTATTGCGAGGGCCTTGTCACTTTAAGCCCTTTATTTGACTTTAGTTAATTCAGAAATATTATAAATTACAATAATCTGTACAATTTGGATAATTTTGTTCAAATTTTTAACCTAACCAGCCAGTATCATTATAGAAGTGACTTTATGAACTTTTTATATACGAAACTGCTATATTTTGAGTAGAAATAAGAGTAATAATGCAGTTTATATGGTCTATTTCACTGCTAATAACTTTATAATTGTTTAATTTGTATTTTTTTACTCAACAACTGCAGAATTTATTAATACAAAACATCCAAACAGTTATTTTTAGTCCATCACCTAATTTCTGAAACTGCTTCCTATAATTCACGTCATAATTAAGTCGGCCTATAGTTTCTCACTCCTATCAGCTTTTTCTCTTAAAGGTGCACTGTGTAGCTTTTCTGGTGGGCAGTCTGTTACCACGGAGACACTGTTCCTTTGCCTGAAATGTCCCACAGTGTAGCATTAAACTATCTCACATGGATTGATTCATATACAGGTTTTTTGTTTGTTCGTTTGCTACAAAAACCTTGAAGAACACGCGTTAATGCTTTGAGCAGGGTCGCCTCTCCGTAGATCTGACCTGTCACTATGGAGTTTAATGCTGTAGTGTGGAACATTCTAGGCAAGGCAAGGGCAGCGTAGCATTAAACTATCACACATGGATGGATTCACATACGGGTTTTTTGTTTGTTCGTTTGCTACAAAAACGTTGAAAAACACGTGTAAATACTACGAGCAGGGTCGCCTCTCCGCAGATCTGACCTGTCACTAGGCTGTCTCCATGGAAATATGAGTTTAATGCTATACTGTGGAACATTCTAGGCAAGGGAAGTTTATTTATATAGCAGAATTCATACACAGAAAGTAATTCAAAGTGTTTTCTAGGCAAAGCGATGACATCTCCACGGAAACAACTCCATTTTCTTTCCATAAAAGGTGCACTGTGTAGCTTTTCTGGGAGGCAGTATGTTACCACGGAGACGCTGATCCTTTGCCTGAAATGTCCCACAACGTAGCATTAAACTATCTCGCACGGATGGATTCACATACGGGTTATTTTGTTTGTTCGTTTGCTACAAAAACGTTGAAAAACACGTGTAAATACTACGAGCAGGGTCGCCTCTCCGCAGATCTGACCTGTCACTAGGCTGTCTCCATGGAAATATGAGTTTAATGCTATACTGTGGAACATTCTAAGCAAGGCAAGTTTATTTGTGTAGCAGAATTCATACACAAAGTAAATCAAAATGTTTTCTAGGCAAAGTGATAACATTTCTATGGAAACATCTCAATTTTCTCTCCAGAAAAGTTACATAATACATCTTTAAATTGGAAACAACATGCATTAGGGATGTAAGAAAAAATCTATTTAGTGATATATCGTGATACTTCATTGCACAATACTCAAATCGGTTGAAAACTGAATTCAAAATCGATTTTTTAAATAATAATTTTCACTAAACTCATGATTTAAAAAGGTAATAAATTATTTTTCATGAAGGTGTAGTTGAAAATATAAGTTATGATAAATTGCAATATATCATCCATTGTTTTATAAATATCGCGATATATTGAATCGTGACTTGTATATCGTAAGTATCGTATCGTCAGAAGGCAATGCACACCCCTAATTTGTATACCATTTTCTAATATAAATATAATATAAATGTTCCAAACTCCAATTTTAATTCAATTCATGGTCTAAAATGTCACTTTGTCCCAGTTGCGCCCTCTCATTGTATTTCTGTATACTTTTCAAACATATTACTGTTACTATATTGTAATTATTATATTAACTTTTGGATTATTTTGTACGCAGCCTCTCCTCCGTGACATCTTTTCGTATCGTTTCTTTTCAGTTTTGCACTCATTGACCCATTTAAGTTCTTGCTTCGTGTATTTTTTAACCTGATTTTATAACATTTATGGATAAGAGGAGGGTCATATTTCCCCGTTATGTTAAATACAAGGGGAGAGCAGTTGTTGTTTTAATTTTTTGGTATTGTGTATATATATTTTTTCATTTTTTGGAGGATTCTGTATGAAAAGCCTTGTACTGTTATACTGTTTATTAATATCCATTGTATTTTTTGAATTGTCTTCTTTGGGTTGTGTCTTCGTTGGGACCTCCTGTTCTTTTATTTCTCTTCTCTCTGTTCATCTACATTTGTAATTACACAATAATCAGGGTTCATTAAAAAGGTAAACGTTTTCTGTGTGTGTTGTGTTTTATTGCTACAGATATTCACTTTTGCTTTCACAGGTCACTTATAATTCGGGAAATAATATCTTGGAAGGCGCATTGTGCAACTGTTTTCCGCTTGTCTCCATGGAGATTTTGTCTGGAATGTCCCGGTATGGCTTTAAACGTTAGCCTGATTCATCATCTGACCTCGCAGCGTTAGGATTCGTTCACTCGATGGTAGGCGGGTGCTTTTTTTTATTTAACCAATCGCTGCTATTTGGTTGTGACGTATGTAATGCCTCAAATCCCTTAGGAAGAAGGGCAATAACGTCTTTTCTCTTGATAAAATTCACCAAACATTCTCTTTGTTCTGGCTTTAAATCCTCGATCTTGGGAATCGTTGCCAACACAGAATGTATGTCTTCATCTACATCAGACATGCCAGACTAAGGCTCAGGGGCCAAATTTGGACGACGAGATCATATCAAATATGTATTAGAGCTGGCCCGCCGGTTACAGATAGGCTTTAGAAACATTATTTAAAATTGTATTATTATTTTATATTTTGCTTGTTCTGGATTCAATGTTAAAGCAAAACTATTATTAAACATTTATTTTAATAAGAGAAGGTTTAACATTACACATCTCAGAAGAAGAGAAAACATGCAGATGTTGATGATTGTTTTTCAATAAATATTTAGTTTGGCCCACGACTTGGTCCCAGTTTTTAATTTTAGCCCTCTGTGAATTTGAGTTTGACACCCCTGGTCTACATCCATCTCGACCTCTTTGTTCACTGTTGTGCTGTTCCACAAAAGGGACCCAGACAGGTGCTTGAGTTTGACGTCAAGGCTTCACAGCTCTTCACTGATTGGCCAGTGCCCAGACTCGCACTTCTGAGGTTCTTGCAAGTGTATTCCTATTCCTGATCTAGTCACTGGAGAAAAATGAGAAACTAGGTGTCACCAGCCTGGCTAATTAAACGTATCTATCTTGCGTTTACTCAATAACATGGGTTTTTATGTCTTAAAAGCTTGAATTCTTACTGTGAGTGGGCTCGCCTCTCCGCAGATCTGACATGTAACTTGACTCTGTAACATCACCTGCCGTCTCCGCAAAGATAAATGAGCGTAATGCCATACTGTGGAACATTCTAGGCAACTTCTCCATGGACAGAAGCAGGTGACGTCACAATATTTTATTTAATATTTTTGTAGCACCATAAAGTTTGAGTGAAAGAGGGTAGAATAATATATAACTTAAATAACTCATACTCTGTGATGGGAATACTTTTAAAATGTAGTTACAGAATACTGAATACCTGCATTAAAATGTATTTTGTAACGTATTCTGATACATGGTCCAATCAGAGTACTGTATTCTGATAATTTTTAGATCAAGTTTCCGTTTAAATCATAGTGCAAAAACAACTTTCTTTATTTGACTGTTTGTTACACAATTATTTATTGCTAATTGGAAAAGGAGAAATCACACATGTCTCACTGGAAGAACTGTGTTTTCAGATTTTCTCAGTAATAATGTGCAGTTTGAAGCCTAAATTGTGTGATTAACAGTGTTGGGGAGTAACAGATTACATGTACTGGAGTTACGTAATCAGAGTACAAATTATGAGTAACTGTATTCAGTTACAGTTACTGTTTCAATGAGTGGTAATTGGATTACAGTTACTTTGTTGAAATAAGTGGATTACACGGTGGTATTTTCCTGTTTTTACCCCACCCCCCACCCCATCCCCTGTAATTTCACTCATTGCCAGACACTATACCAGGTCTAAACCAGGTATAAAAACAGGTCTAAACTACGTCTAAAACCAGGTCTAAAACCAGGTCTAAAACCAGGTCTAAACCAGGTCTAAACCAGGTCTAAACCAGGTCTAAAACCAGGTCTAAACCAGGTCTAAACCAGGTCTAAACCAGGACTAAAACCAGGTCTAAAACCAGGACTAAAACCAGGTCTAAAACCAGGACAAAAATTCTTATGTGAAGATATCCTAGTCTTTGCTTCTCTACAGCAAATTAAGTAATCCAAAGTATTCAGATTATGTTACTCACCTTCAGTAATTTAATGGATTACGTTACAAACTACATTTTGAGGTATGTAATCTGTAATCTGTAGGGGAATACATTTTAAAAGTAACCTTCCCAACACTGGTGATTAAATACTGTTATGTATTCCTTTGATTTTAGGAAATATATCTGAATACCTCCAAATGAAAGAGTAACAGCACAGGAATACAGTTACTCAAAATGACCATCCTGAATATTTATTTTTAGTACATATATTCAGTTACTTCACAACACTGCTCATACTACATAAATACCGTACATGTCTTAAAATTGGTTCCTTGAAGTGCAGAGAGGACATTATCGTAGTAAAAACACAGTGGAGCACTTCCTGTATGAGCTCTATTCACACTTGCGTCATGAAACTGGAAGACATTTGGAAACATGCGGATGACGACTTCCTCCGGGCTCTGTTTGCGATAAAAACTGAGAAAATGGACCCGTTTTCTTCATCTAGATGTCACTGTATTTTTTTCTTTTTCCTTTTATAAATTGCCTGTTAGTTTGTGTATTATAATTTGTCTAACTTTAAAAAAAAAAACAAAAGATGTAATTGTAGTGTTCAGTTATGTTTGGCAGATAAACAGTTACACCCAACTGCCTGTAAGAAGTAGTTGTAATAGTAGTCGTTCTTGTTGTTGTTGTTTTAGTAGTATTAGTAGGAGTAGTTATAGGAGTAGTTGTAATAGTAGTAGTAGTAGGAGTAGTAGGAGTAGTAGTAGGAGTAGAGGAGGAGTAGGAGGAGTAGTAGGAGTAGAAGTAGGAGGAGTAGAAGTAGGAGTAGTAGTAGTAGAGTAGTAGTAGTAGTAGTAGTAGGAGGAGTAGAAGTAGGAGGTAGGAGGAGTAGAAGTAGGAGGAGTAGTAGGAGGAGTAGAGGAGTAGGAGTAGTAGTAGTAGTAGAAGAAGTAGTAGGAGTAGTAGTAGTTGTTGTAGTAGGAGAGTAGTAGTAGGAGTAGTAGAGTTGTAGTAGAGGAGTAGTAGGAGGAGTTGTAGAGTTGTAGGAGTTGTAGTAGTAGTAGTAGTAGAGTAGTAGAGGAGTAGGAGGAGTAGTAGTAGAAGAAGTAGTAGGAGTAGTAGTAGTAGTTGTAGTAGTAGGAGGAGTAGGAGGAGTAGTAGGAGTTGCAGTAGTAGTAGTAGAAGTAGAAGAAGTAGTAGTAGTAGGAGTAGGAGTAGTAGTAGGAGTAGTAGTAGAAGAAGTAGAAGTATTAGGAGTAGTAGTTGTAGTAGGAGTAGTAGTAGTAGTAGTAATAGTAGTAGTAGTAGTAGTAGTAGTAGGAGTAGTTGTAATAGGAGTAGGAGTAGTTGTAAGTAGTAGTAGTAGTAGTAGTAGCTGTAGTAGGAGTAGTTGTAGTAGTAGTTGTAATTGTTGTAGTTGTTGTAGTTGTTGTAGTAGTAGTTGTAGTAGTAGTAGTAGTTGTAGTAGTAGTAGTAGTAGTTAGTAGTAGTAGTAGTAGTAGTAGTAGTAGTAGTAGTTGTTGTAGTAGTAGTTGTAGTATTAGTAGTAGTTGTTGTTTTAGTAGTAGTTTTATTCAGTCATTTTGTTGCACTACAAAACAAAACATAGACTACAATCCCATAGATCATGACTGAAAGGGTTTAGGCTGAAGTAAAAAGTACTTACAATGCCTAACCCTATTCAACAATGACAGAATTCCAAAAAGAAAGCAGCGTATGAACAGCAAGCTTTCTTATTTGAAGTGCAAAAAGTAGTTGTTTTTCTTATTTTAAGTGTAGCAAGATGTATGTTCATATTTAAGTACAAAGTCTTATTCCAGTGGCAGATCATTTTACTTGCCAAGTGAAATTGACTCAAATCATGACAAAACTTTCTGAATTCAAGTCGTCTTAACTGAACTAGATTTAGATTTTTGCAGTGTATATGCAGGAGACAAACTATAAATTAAAACAAACTAAAGTGAATGCATAATTAATTCATTCCAGAGTCCTACAGCTTTCAAAACATAACGCTTTTTACCCTTTTTTTTACAGTTTACTTCTACAGTGTTAGACTTAAAAAAAAAAAATCATCACTCAGGTTGTTTCATTTAACCCCCTAACAAAAATACAATCACTTTTTTCGTAGTTCTTAGTTCAAATCGACATTGAAGACGCAATAAGAGTCTGGTCCCCCATGAAAAGTTTTGGCAGGTTGTGAAGACGCTGCTGCTGAATCCATGGTTTTATCACATGCCCATTGTCGGGAACTACACCGGAAATATCAGGGAGACTCACCAGAGCACAAAAAGATAAAGCAGAACAGGAAAACCTAAAATCCGCCATATCAGAGCACTGTAAAAGGACAAACCACATTATGGATCGGGACAGGGCTCGGGTCATTGGATCAGAAAACAACAAGTTCAAACGCTGGATCAAGGAGGCCACTTGAAATCAGGAAACGAGGCACGGGCAGCATGAACCGTGATGACGGAGCGTTCCTCCTTTCACACACCTGGGACACCCTCCTCCAGAGAACACCGGGCGACGGGAGGCGTGGTCAGTCTGAGCGACCTGCCAGGTCCATCAGGCTGACCACGCCTACAGGAAGTAACAACAGCTGATATACGACACGTCACCACCAACATCGGGGACAGTTCTGAAGATGGCTCGCAGCTAGCAGCCGAAACATGTCAACAAGGTACAAATACACTTTACTGCATTGTCTTTAAAAAGAACCCAAGAAGTTACACCGGAAGTCGTCATTCGCATGTTTCTGAACGTCTTCCAGTAAGCGTGAATAGAACCGATTGCCACATGACATCCTTGAGTTTTTGCATCTCTTGGTCTATCAATGCATTTAGTTTTCATTAGAGATGTAACGATATCCAAATCACTTTGTACGATATTATCACGATATGCATTTCATGGTACGATATTTACTGTGATATTTTGAAGAGGCTTAAATAACTGTAGATACGACACTTTTTTGCTTTTAAAATACCTTGA